AGTAAACCAGGACTAACAGGCCAAGAGCTGAGATAGGAGCAAGGGCCGCAATGGCAAGAAGGGAGGCAAGTCCCACCTCATCGTGATGGCTGACACCAACAGCACTAGCACACCTGATACCCTAATCCACACTCCTCCTCCTGAGCTCTCCCTCGGCTCTGGCTGGCAGAGGTCCCAGCTTCCCAGACGAGCTGCCTGAGTCTAAAGCCCAGGGCGTGTTGAGCCTGGCCGCCAAGCAAGTGGGGAGAAGCGCTGAAGCTGGGGGCCACACAAGATACAAGTCCCGGGACAAACCCGGCCCTTCCAGAACCACCCTGAAATCTTCCGGGGAGTCCAGTCATCCCAACATTGTCTTTCTCTGTAGGTGTGCTCGGGCTGGAGAAGGTGGGAGTGTCTGCCTGATGCCTGTGAGGGTTCCCCTCAGTCATTCTGCAGGGTGCTACCCTTAGGAAGACCTTATCAAATGAGCAGTGAATTTCAACCAAGTGAACATGATGAGCAGACACGGACATGCATGACTCCTTGGTGCCGAGCCGTCCAATCCTTGTCAGTCTCCTCTAGGGTAGGAGCCAGGGTCTTCCTGCAGGGTCGGGAGTAACTGGTGCTGAGGGCTCAAAACAGTACAGGACGGTGGGTGTTTTCCTTCTCTCTGCAGTGGCCAAGGACTGGAGCTGACGGGAGGCGCGGCCCTGCCTCTTCTCAGTGCAGGCCTGCCCCAGCTGCCCACTATCTGCTGGGCTGCAGGTACTGGTGTGTGAACATGTTGAGTTCACTGTCCAACCAGCCAGCTTTATTCCTGTGAAGACAAGACTGCTGTACAAACGGCTGACAGGGACAGGTCACACTAGCCTGTCTGAACCTTCATTTAATCCTTCCATAGCATTTTCCCACTTTGCAGATGAGGAGAAGGAGGTCACAAGCTGATGGGACAGAGCCAGGCTTTTTTAAAAAGAGGTGGGCTAAGACAGAATCTCAGTAGCCCAGGCTGGCCTAGAACTCACAGCCATCCTCCTGCCTCAGCCTCCCATGTACTCTGATTATAGGAGTGAACCACCATGGCTGGTTTCAGGTTTTTCTAGTTGCAGGTTTTGCTGCAGCCCCAGATCCCCAGATCTCTGGAGAACAGCTTTCCTGACTGACAAGTGGAGGTCTGGGTGCTGGCTCAGCCTGTCTGTGGCCACCAGCAGCAGGCACTGTCCCGAGAGCCCCAGCAGGTGACAGTGTGGCCCGGTGGTGGGCAGGCGGGGCAGCGAGCTGAAACCCTGAGTGCCCCTTCTCTAGCTCTGTCCTCTTTGGAACTCTGACATTCAGAGGTGGGGGCAGGCTATGCAGGTCCCCATGTGCTGATGTCACCACGGCCTGAGCAGGCTGAGGACTTCGAGTACTTCTACCTCCACCTGTGGCTGTCATGAAATTATAGCCTCATCTCACAGGTGAGAGCCACAGGACACAAGAAAGCTGAGGGAATGCAGGGCCAGCACCCAGAACCTGGCTCCTCCAACTGATCCTCCTCCCAGCAAACTTCCCAGCTCTATGAGACCACCAGTCCTGTTCCTGTGGAGACCTGGTGCTACGCACTCCTGCCCCTGGGCTCAGAGAGGAACTGAATATGACTCACATGGGTGCAGATCTCACACAGGGCAAGGAGAAGCAAAGTGCAGCCCACATGCACCCCAAGTTCAATCTGGCTATTTCCTGTGGAGCTCTAGACAAGGGACTCAGCTTCCACAGCCCCCAATTTTCCTACTAGAAAACAGAGCTGAGGTGGTCATAGTGACACACACCTTTAATCCCAGCACTAGGGAGGTGGATCTTGGTGAATTTGAGACCAGCCTCATTCACATGGCAAGTTCCAGGCCAGCCCAGGCTACAAAAAAGATTCTGTCTCAAACAAAACAAGAAAAGGAGACCCGAGGACCCACTCCTCCAGGGGTGACAAGCTGGGGGGACAGCCTGTGTCAAGCGCCGAGACCCTGCAGTCAGAGGAGGGCAGGCCACGAGCTGCACCATCACAGCATCGTCTCGCTTGTTTCCTGGGTCACTCTGCCCCACCTGCAAACACCTCGAGGACAGTGACACTGTGTGGAGCCTCCAGCACTAGTGCCATCCTGCACTGGAGCCTGGCAAACATCTCACAAGACAGAGAGCGCCTGGTGCCTACACTGGAGACACCAGAGGGCAGACAAGCCCCAACTCCCCCACCCTGGCTACTAAGCCACTCACCTGAGCAATTTGGCTTTGCTCTGAAGTGATTCCAGAGCCTCAACTTTCTTGTTCATGGCAGCAATTTCCTGCTCCAGATTTTCTCGGGTGATGTCAACTTGCTGGCACAGATGAGCAAATGTCCCAGACAGTTCCCTGAGGGGACAGAGATAGGATCAACTGGGCAGATGGTGGTTTAGGCAGGATTCTGCTGCTGGCCAAGTCTACCCAGAACAGAGCAGCAGCTGAGTCCATCCACATCTGCTCTGGCCTGAAGGCCTGATTTTGGTATCCTTCCCACCTCTGCTAAAATCATGAACAGCTTCTAATGCCCACACCAAAGACACTGGGCATCACCGCAGGCGACTCATCAGTCCAGTTGTGAACCTAACCTGGACACAAGAGGCCAGATTCTCACTCTGATGCTCATCAGCTAAGTGGGAGGAAAGGGTCTCATCTCTGAGTCCAAGTCTCAGTATCCTCTCAAGTGTGTGTGTGTGTGTGTGTGTGTGTGTGTGTAATGCTAGGGGTTAAACCCAGGCCTCTGTGTGTGCACGGCAGGTTCTCTACACAGAGCTACAGCCCTGGCAGTGCCCCCACTCGAAAGCACACAGCAGTAAAGCCTCTAGCTCACAGCTGCAAGAGTAAGGAAAGCTAGTGTAAACAGGTCTGCCATAGCACAGTTAGGACAACCAACCAAACTAAGCATGTGGCTCACGTCTGCACTCCCAGGACTCAGGCGGCTGGAGCTGTCTGAGTTTGAGATTAGGCAAGCAGGGCAGGAAAACTGCTTTCTCGATGTTCCAGGATGGAGCAACCATAGGGACCCCTGACCTACTGAGGCACTGTAACCAGGCTTTGGTTTAGGATCCCACAGCTCATGCCCTTCAAGGGCAACCTTTAATATTTATTTACTTACTTAGAGACAGGGTCTTATGTAGCCCAAGATAGCCCCAAACTCCCCACATAGCCAAGGATGATCCTCCTGCCTCCACCTCCTGAGTGCTGGGACTATAGGTGTAAGACATGCCTGGTCTACATCATATTGGGGATCAAGCCCAGGGCTTCATGCATGCTAGGCAAGCACCCTGCCAACTGAGCTACATTTCCAGTCCCAAACCAACCTTTAAAATCTATGAAGCATGTCCCGGTTCCCTCATTTTCCCCTTCCTTCCCCTCTTGGGGCACTGGAGGCCTATCCGACCTCAGCCCTAGACCTCTTCATCATCCCTGGATGCAAAACTGGCACTACACAAAGCACATACATCCCATGATGCGGAGACCCACAGGCTCTCGGGTCAGGTTCAAAGGGAGGTGGGGAGAGCCCACCTATTAGGGTGTCCTTCCTTAGGTCCCCAGGCTACTCACTGCTGGACTTGGTGGCTGCAGTTAGAGCCAGTATAACTGATAATGAGCTGCAACTTCTCGCTGGCATATTCCACAAACTGGCGCTTGAAGGCCCTCTCCTTAGCTTTGGTGGTCCAGGTCAGCCGCTCATAGACGTAGAGGAGGCCATACAGTCCAAAGGAGAGGGCGATGAGTCTCCAGCCCACTGCCTTCCACACCTGTAGAGATGCATGGTCAGTCAATTTGGAGCAAGGTCTCTGTGACCCTGCTCAGGCTAAGAGGGCAGGGTCTCTCTCCAGCTGGAAGAGAGGGAAACTGAGTGTTGGCCACACGAGATAACTTAATGTTAGGACCACTATCCTGATCTAGGTGAGAAGTTGGTTTTGTTTTGTTTTGTTTTGAAGTGCTGGGGATGGAATTCAGGGCCTGGCAGGTGTTAGGCAAGCTCTGTAGTGCTGAGCTTTAGTCCCAAACCTGAGAAACAGGCTTCTTAACATCATCCTGGCTGGATGAACTTGGGCTCTTCATTCACAAAGGAGGTATGTGGTGTCAATTTAATCCACAGGTTGTATGGCTAGGTAAACAAGATGCTATAAGATGCTATAAAAGGGTCTGTCAAGGTCAGAGTTGCAGTTCATGACCCTCTTGTAGGCCACTATCTATGGAAAGAGCCGGAGGATGCAACTCTCTGTCTGGGGGGAGGAGCCTCGTGATCCACCTTGTACTACATGTTGGAAAAACAATCCCTGACAGTGTTTGTGACAGTCACCTGCCTGTGGGGTCTGCCTCTCCACATTCTAGAAGGGCATGAGAGCTTGCCAACACCACCAGGGGCTCTCAGACGTGAGGGACCGTGGCTGCACAGTGTCTTGAGTCGAGACAGAAGCCAGAGAGGGAGCTCAAGAGCCAGGCGGGCCTCCTTCCTAGCCTTTGGTTGTTCCCCACTCTCTGCTTGTTATGGAGGAAGAGGCCTCAGCGCCAGATGGGGAGGGTTCAAACTAGTGGTGGGTTTTTGCGAGCCATAGCCAGGAAATGGGAACATCCTGTTAGCTGTATGTGAAAGGGCTCCAGCCACACAGCCCCCCAGGGTAGAAAACACTCAGAGTCCCCAGGTCCCCCCATCCCCAAGCAGGTGCCACTGACCACTCCTCCGACCACGAGAATGCCCATGGAGGTCCTGGATGTCAGAGAGGCCAGGCCGGTAACCATGGAGACCATAAGCTCCTCCTGCGTGAGGGAGCCCTGTGGCAAGGGGGGCATACTGGGGTTGGCAGGTGTCAGAGGGATAGGACGCTGAACCTGTGAGAGATGACAAAGGGAGAAGAATGTTACAAGCCTGTCATTCAGGCACACCCTCAACGACCCTCAGACTAGGACTGAGCAACTCTTCGATTCCCAAGAGGCAGAAGAGGGAAAAGCTTTGTATGTACCACAGTGGGTTATCTGCTTGCTAAGAGACCCACTAGCCCAAGGTGAGCGCTGTGGCAGGCCACAGGATGTAAGCCCTGGTCACTGGGCTTGTGCCAGCACAGGACCTGCCCTAAGAGCAGTCCTACAAGCATTTATGTGAGTGTGTGTGTGTGTGTGTGTGTGTGTGTGTGTGTGTGTGAGTGTGTGTGAGTATAAACCAGGGCAGAATGTCGAATGTCCTCCTCTACCACTTTCTACCTTAAGACTGGTCTCCCAATGACTGGAAGCTTCCTGTTCCAGCCAGGCCGACAAGCCAACTTGGAAGAAGAGTAAAGTAAGTGCTTGCGTCCACTGAGCTGTCTCCTCCTCAGTCCCTAACGCACTTTTTATTCCAAAATTTAAAGTGGTGATATGTATTTATCATATTTATTTAATTTTATATTTATGATTGTTCTGATTACATGTGTTTGTGCATCACACGTGTGCCTGGTGTATGTGGAGATCAAGAGAGCACTGGATGCCTTGGAACTAGAATTAAAGATGGTTATACACCATCATGTAGGTGCTGGGAAGAGAACCTGTGTCCTCTCCAAGAACAAACCCTCTAAACTGCTGAGCCATCTCTTTTGTAGATAAGAATTTGAAATCCACCCCCCCCCACTCCTCCCCCGACTCCAGCGTAGTGTTAAGGATCAAATCCAAAGGCTCCTGTATACAAGGCAACTTTTCCTTGCTGAGCTCCGACTCCAGCCTCCAAGTGGTCTGTTCTGAAGAGTACACACTCAGACAAGCACTAGAAAATCCTTCTGTATTTGTAATCAGGATAAGACCAGGTTGGCAACGGCAACAGTGCTGACCAGTGACCAAGCGGCACGCCCCACTAGCAGGCTGATCTCCCATGATGCCCTGGGGAAAGGAGCTTCTTGCCTGATCACTGTAGCCCATCAAGGCCCGGCGGCTGTTCTTGGGGCCCAGGAACCTGTTCACCAGCATGGTCCATCCAAGGGAGAAGTGGAACTCGATGTCCTCCTGAAAGTCAGCGCACAGCTTGTCACAGTTCAGGTCGTAGCTGAGGGAGAAGCACTGGCGAGGGACCAGCATGTCTATCTGACTCCGCACAGACACCGGAAGCAGGGGCTTTAAGCCATCTGTCAGGGGCACAAGCAGGGAGAGAGAGTGCATCGGCTCAGGCCTGTGCCACACCAGGGCCCAGCCTCGGGCACAGAGTCCACACCAGCTGCTAGGGATGCTGCAGCTCTGTGCAGAAACCACACCCAGATGGTCACCTCCCCGAACCTGACAGGAGTCATGCCCAAGTCTCAGCTTATATACTGCCCCACATGGCAACCCAAGTTCCTACAGAATGAATTCAGGACACCAGAACCTGAAGGTAGTGAGTCAAATCACTACCAAAGATAACAGATAAGGAAAGGTCATCCTAGTTGACATTATTTTGATTATGTGTATGTGCGTGTATGTGCGTGGCTATGTGCTCATGAGTTCAGGTGCACATGAAGGTCAGGGGCATAGGATCTCCCGGATGGATCTGAGGTTCAGAAAGTTGTGATCCTCCTGACATGAGTTCTGGGAACCCAACTCAGGTCCTCTGCAAGAGCTGGACACACTCTTAACACCCTGAGCTATCTCTCCAGCCCTGTCTTACTTTAGCCTCATCCTGGATATGGCAGCTCCACAGATGCCAAGGTCCCTGTGGTACAAACCTATCATGTCCTGCTGCATGGTCTGCAGGGAACTGGTGATGGCTGTGGAGCAACGGTCAGACATGTTCCGGCCCAGGCCTTCCTCTACATGGCGATGCAGTTCCTGCCTCCAGAAAAGAGAGGGTAAGAAAAGAGGCACCACCATCACAAGTCTCTGGGGGTTCAACCAGACCGCCAGCTGACCAAGGAGGCCTCATGTCTCTGTCACTTCCACTCAGGGACCCTCAGACAGACCAGCTAAGGCTGTGCTGCTGTGTACAAGGTGATTCTGCCAGCGGTCCCTGCCAAGAACACATGCTGCTTCACTCACGTTCTTATAAACCTTGAGGACGACTGGGGATGGGTGGAAGTCCATCTGGTACTCATCAACCAGCACAGAGAGGCGTCTGATCTCTTCGGCCATGGCTGTGGACACCTGCAGCCAAGGGAGGACACTGTTGGCATCAAGAGGACTGTGCTTTGCTTCGGCGGGAGAGGCTGCAGCGAACCACACACCTGTCCCCACACCCAGCAGCCTCCTCAGCTCCTCTTGATTAGAAGATGCAGAGGTGGAAGAAAATGGGCAACCAAAATGGCCCTGAAGGAGACCCAAGGGAAACTGTATTCTTGCAGCAGGGCCACCGAAAGCTTCCCAGAACGCTGAAGAAGCCCTGGGGCGAGATGTCCTGCTCTCAGCACTTGCTGCCACTGAACCTGACTCTGACTGGGAGTCCAAACCTCCCCACAGAACTTTCTCTCCACTTCTCACCTGCCTTTCCACTTCCTCTGTAATCTGCTTAATTCTCAGCTTATAGTCTTGAGCCAGGAGCTCCAGCTGCTTGTCAATAAATCTCAGCCGGTCTTGCCGCTCTTCCCGCATCTCCAGACAGTAAACCCTGAAAGAAAAAGCACTGCTCAGAAACCCACGTCCCCACAGGACTAAGCACAGGAGCCAAGGAAGCTGGGAAGCTCCCCTAGGCCGCAGCTCTCCTGCCTGGACAGGGGCTTCCTTTAGGGGAGGGGCGGTGACAGAAGAGAGGGGGCTAAGGAGGGGAGGGTTAGAAACAGTTCTGCTAACTAACTACTATGGGGGGAGATGCTTGACAAGCCAGCAAGATGGCTCAGCGTGTCAAACGCTTGCTGTGCAGGCCTGACGACTTGAATCCAGTCCCCAGGGCCCAGACAGAGGCGGAAGGAGAGATCTGATTCCACCAAGTTGTCCTCAGACCTCTACATGTGAGCTGTGCCATGGACACACAATCTATAACAACAGTGTGAAAAAAAGACTTTTTATTTTTATTTATTTTTTTTTTTATTGAGACAGGGTTTCTTTGTGTAGCCCCGGCTGTTCTGGAACTGACTCTGTAAACCAGGCTGGCCTCAAACTCACAGAGATCCACCTGCCTCTGCCTCTCAAGTGCTGGGATTAAAGGCGTGTGCCACCACCGCCCAGCTCAGGGTAAAATTAAAAAAACAAAAAAACCAAGATAACAATAGCATAAGAATGTTCCACTTGTCCAGTAATTGGGAAATAAAATTAAGGAGAGAAACTAGCAGACACCTGGAGGAAGTGGCTGTGTCTTACGAGGTGGTGAGAGCTATGGAAATGGGAAGTCCTCCAGACAGGCACGGCAGATGCTCTGGAGCGCTCCCACAACAGGCTGAGCGACAGTGGGTCAGTTCCCTGCACCCATGCCAAGGTCCCAACAAGAACCAAGGGGGAAACCAGGCGGAGAGGCAAAAAGAGCAGGTGCAGTGCCAACGCAGGAACACTATGCCTGAACACGTGTGGCAAGTGCCCAGCAGCCTGCAGTCTCCACATTCTCCTCAAAGCACTTTCGCTGTTGGGTGGTAGGACCAAACTCACCATCACCCCCTAGGAGCAGGTGGGACCACAGAATCAAGGTTACTTAACTTCTTTTCTGTTCTGTTTTAACTTGGCCAACACTGTCTTCTCCAGCAGAAGTAGAATATTTGTACATGATTTCCTGTGCTTTTCTCTATTTTAAATTCTCAAACTTTTTTTTCTTTTTTCTTTCTTTCTTTCTTTCTTCTTCTTCTTTTTTTTTTTTTTTTTGAGACAGGATTTCATGTATCCTAAATTGGCCTCAAACTTAACTATATACCCAAGAATGACACTAACTTCTGATCCTCCAGCCTCCACCTCTTGAGTGCTGGGATTATAGGTTGTCACGCCCATACCCAGTGTATGTGCATGTGTGTTCCTGCATGCTTGGCAAACACTGCCAACTGAGCACATCTCCTGTGCCCCACCATGTTTTGAAAAGTGGCACACACCTTTAGTCCCTGCATTCATGAGGCAGAGACAGGCAGATCTGAGTTCAAAGCCAGCTGGTCTACATAAGAGAGTTCTGGACTAGCTAAAGATGCATAGTTAAACCCCATCTCAACAACAACAACAACAAAAAGGTAGGTTCAGGCTGGATGTGGTATGTTGGGGTGGGGACCTGAAGTTCAAGACTAACCTGGATTACATAGCAAGAATCTGTTAAAGCAAGCAAACAAGCAACAACAACAAAACCCCAAAACAAATCAGTAGTCAAAAGTGCTTTTTCTGGCTGGTGCAAGGCCTCAGCTCTGTACCACTGAAAATTAAAAACAAACAAATACCACAGCCAACAGCCCCGACAAAGAGCCCTCCCTCACTGTCCAGGCCAAGTGGGAGGTCAGACGCCAAGCAGCCCTCCAGGCTAGGTTGTCTACGCAGCTCTTATATGCCCTGGGTGTGACCCACGGACTCAGGCCAGCATCACGGATCTGATCATAGATGTATCTTAGCACCGTAATTCCCAGCACTCCCTCTACTTAGCCCTGGGCTCTCACCGCTGCTCCTGAGCCGCAATGTGCAGGGAATCCATGATGAGACGAACGGCCTCTGCAATCTGCTTGGCCCGGACTGTGTGCTGCTCAAATTTGGTCTTTACAGCAGACTGGGAAATGCACTCCTGGAACAGACAGAGGTACCGAGGGAGGTGGGGGCCAACACCTCTAAGAGCCAGGCTGTGGCTTTCACAGCCAGGGACAGGGCTAGAGAGAGTCACCACATACCAGAATCAAAGACTTACCTCAAATCGCCTCTCAAAATTCTGAAACTCAAACATCCTCACTTGAAATCCTTCTGCAAGGGCGCCCCCTAGGAGAATGGCAGTGTTAGTGAGGAAACAGCTGTACAGAGAGGAAAATGGGGAAATCCCCTCTCTAGGTTACTTTTCTTTTTTTCTTTTCTTTTCTTTATTTTTATTTAACTTTATTTTACATGCATTGGTATGAAGGTGTCAGATCTCCTGGAACTGGAGTTACAGACAGGTGTGAGCTGCGATGTGGGTGCTGGGAATTGAACCTGAGTCCTCTGGAAGAGCAGCCAGTGCACTTGACCATTGAGCCACCTCTCCATCCCCTCTAGGTTACTTTTCTAACCATAACCACCTGACAAGGAACAACTTAAGAGAGGAAAGCAGACTCACTCTGGCCCGGTCTGAGGGCACAGTAGGTCACAGCAGGGAAGGAAGGGCAGCAAGAACTTGAAACCGCTTGCCTGGACCTCCCCGGGCAAAGAAACAGAAGGAAAGCTGATGGTCCAAGCTTTCTCCTCTCAGCCCATGGGATGCTGCAGCTCACACTCAAGGAGCGTCATCCCTCCTTAGATTCCTCTCTGGAAATGCCCTCAAAGACGCGCCCAGAGGCATCTCCTAGGTGATTCTAAGGAGCAGGGCCCTCCCTCCAGGCTCTGCTCACTACCTCACTGCCAGACCAAGTCCACCAACAGACCCAGACTCAACATTTCAAAAACCCATAGAAAGGAGGCTGTCAGCTGTCGTGGTTACCTCCTTCTGGCATGCCCTGGGCTTTCTGGACCCTGGCACTGAGCACTTCCTTGGCAGACACGAAGAAGATCCTGTCCCCGGCCTGAGCTCGATCCACCACGCCCAGCTCGTCCACCAGGAAGCTGGTGCAGCGCTCCATGTGCTGCCGCCGCACCTGGGCCAGACAGACGGGCGTGCGTGAGCAGGGCAGGGCTGGGGAAACCCATCCACACGGCTCAACCAGCAAGAGGGATGAAGTGTTTCCATAACGAAAGGTCACCCACCACCTCTGCACTAGAACCGCCAGCCTCCCTAGTTCCTCTCTGGGGGCTCGTGAGGCACAGAACAGGCCCCAGACTGCCTAGAACTGTTCTTTCCCAGAAGGAAAGGAGCCGAAACCTGGCTCTACTACACTGACAAGCCAAGTCTCCCAGGACCTTGATTTATAAGACAAGTAGGCACCCTGGAGTCTCAGCTCCCAGGTAGAACTTAAAAGGGTTAAGAGCCTCCACAGAGCCCCGCCGTGTGTGTGTCATGCATTGTGAGCAGATCCCACTCTCTCAGGTGTGGAGACAGGGTCACAACCATAGCTCCACTGCCGAGCCTCAGCAGCATCCGGACTCACAAATCCCTTTTCTTTTATTTCACACAAATCAGTGTTGGGAGCTGTCCTAAGAAACACCTATCCTTCATTCTCTTTGAGCTTCTTTCCCAAGTGTCTTCCTAAAGTCTGTTTCTGATTGTATTGAGCTTTTGTGAATCAAAGAGTTACTGGCCCAAGGGAAAAGAAAACCAAGGAGAAAAATAGACATGGCAGGGATGCTCTTATGACCTAAGAGAAATCAAGGAAAAGAAAGAACGTGATCGGGAGGGGAAGGGAGTGACTAATGCCACCTCCTACATGGGTAATGGTAATCTCTGGCAGTAACTTTAACTCAGGAAATCCACTAGATCTGAGGCTGCTTGGGGACACAGAGCAGATCTGAGTGGTTAGTGTTCATGGCTCATGGCAGTCTTCAAACTGCCAGAGAGACAGACACCCACCTCCTCCATGTACTCAGGCTCCGAGGCAGACGCGTCCCAGCGGTTGTTCAGGATGAAGATGTTGGGCCGGGAGAGACGCTCGCTCACTTTGTGGAAGAACTGCTTCTCCTAAACAAGGGCAGGACCATGGTAGAGGAGGGTCCGCCAGTCAAGGCCCCTAGCTGCCCTGCCCAGCAGGCCCGGGGACAAGGCGGAGGAAGAGTTACCGTTTGCATCAGTGTGGACTCTGAGTTGGCCACCAGCACAAAGACATCGGCATCCAGGCAAAACTTATCAATCCAGCTGTCCAGCTCAGTGGTGACATCGATCCCAGGGCTGGTGGTGACAGGTGTAATCAGTATGGTCAGGCACAGGGCATGGGCCCAGTGTGAACAGCCCTGGGACTTGCAAGGTGGCCAGGCAAAGGAGGGGAAGGAAAGAGGCAAGCCTGCCCTCCCTGGGGATCTTTCCTTCCCTTTCCCTGTCCTTCCAGATCACGGAGCAATTCGGAGTTTGTTTTGAGCACCTATCACTTTTGTTTTGTTTTGTTTTGTTTTTGGAGACAGGGTTTCTCTGTGTAGCTCTGGTTGTCCTGGAACTCGCTCTGTAGAGCGCTGGGATTAAAAGCATGTGCCACCACTGCCCGGCAGCACCTATCACTTTTATAAAAACCTAATTTGTAGTTTTCAGTTAGAGACAGACAACTGAAGTCAAGTTTTGAATTTCTTTTTTTTTTTCAGTTGAGGTAAGGTCTCATATAGCAGAGACTGACCTTGAACTCCTGATCCTCCTGCCTCCATCTCTCTAGAGATGTAATTAAAGGCATGCACCACCATGCCCAACTTTCAAGTTTATATTTGAGTCCAGGTCAAGGCCATAATATTGTAGTTTCGTGTAGGTGGAATGTGTCCAAAAGGCAGGGCAAAGCATTCCTTCAAGAGGAACAAAATGACCATATATGCTATCCAACACACACACACACACACACA